ATAACAACTTTAGTCTAGCTGTTGAAGTCTTCGAAAGTTGTTTATAATTGGCTTCCAAAATGTTTGCAAAAAATTTATGAATAAAAAGTAAAAAAAAAAAAGAAGCATTATAATAGTCTTTTCAATTATTTAGCTTTAATGATTAACTATGTTACACTATAATAGTTCATGTGTATATTAGCAATAATGGAACTCGTAAAAACTTTTTCTATTGTTCTTCTTTCTATATTTTCTATGCTGTATTGTAACTTATTCTATTATTGAGAATGTGAATGCTTCTATGCAATGCTTTCCTATTATATTCTAAACGTCTTTCCAACACATTTAGCTTTTCATCAGTTGTTAATTGCTAAAAATTCCAAAAAATTTCACCCCTTAGGCACTTAAGATTTAAATGAATAATTATATCTGAATAAACACAACATTTTATTTTTATTACATGAAAAGTTTTACTCATGCGTTAACCTCTGAATTTTGTTCACAGAAATTATGGCACTGGCTTAAGGTATCCGAATACGTTCGGAACCGTGATTTTGCAAAAGCGCATAAATGGATAATTTTCCTGATATTTAGTGTCATTTAGATTAGAATACATGTATACAATTGTTTTAAGGACATTTTGACAAAAAATTATTTAAATACAATACTTTGGCAAAAAATAAACTTAGAATAATTTTTTTCAAAATGTTCTCTTTTTGTGAAAAATGCTTCTATTATAATAATACTTTGCCTGTGTATAGCTCATCAGACCTCTCTACAGAGGATCAACTAGAATTTTTGAAATATATAACTTAGAAGTGGGTTTATCCTTATTTTACGACAACAGAGGGGAGCAATTTTAAGAAAAAAACGCCGATAATTATTTCAATTGGTTGCAACTCTGAAAATAATGTGAATTTTTCAAAAATCATAGTTGAGCCTCTGTACAGAGGTTTGAGCCAGTGGCGCACACAAGGGGGGTCCTGGGGGTCCGGACCCCCCACAAAGCCCTTGATTTTTTTCCGATTGGTTATAATTCTAAGTATATAATACGTAAAATTTTTAATTAAGTATTTGCTAATAATGATTAATTTTATTAATTAATGATAATTATTTATTCAATAATTAGTTTTTTACTCTGTTTTGTTCCTGAAAATCGACAAAATCAAAAATAGCATAATACAAGAATGGTGAATTTTCAACCCCGGACCCTCGCCTTGAAAAATTCCTGTGTGCGCTACTGGTCTGAGGCAAAATACAGGCAAGATATTATTATAACAGAAGCATTTTTCACAAAAGGACAACATTTTGAAAAAATATTATTCAAGTTAATTTTTTGCCAAAACATTGTATTTAAATAATTTTTTTTGTCAAAGTGTCCTTAAAACCATTTTATACATGTATTCTAATCTAAGTAACACTAAATATCATGAAAATTATCCATTTATGCGCTTTTTTAAAATCATGGTTTTGAACGTAGTCGGATACCTTAAGCCAATGGAATTCACTTAAATTACCTTGAGTCTTGACAAGAAAGTTAGTGTTTCAGCAAATTTGTTCAGATTAACTCTATTAGGTCCCTATTAACATTTGTGCTCTCTCTCATACGTACATCACCTCAATTTTTAAGCTTCCACATCATTCTAACATAAGTACAGGTATAACAGTAAGGTGACCAACCGTCTTCCTTTAGAGAGGACAGTCCTTCTTTAATAGTTTTTGTCTTTCCTCGAAAAGTGTCCTCCTACTTGTTCAACTTTTCAATATTTTAAAACTGACCTGTTAATCTCTGTTTTCAGAGATGAACCAAACGTCGAAGAATAATCTGAAACAAATTACACAAGAAATAGCAGTTTTTAATGGTGTTTTTTGACCTCATTGCAAGTAAATTGGGCAGATATAGAAAATTGTGTCGAGTTTTTAGCGAAAGAAATGCCTGACACTAAAATCGATGATAATTGTATGTTTGAAGGAGAATGAAGACTGAAGGTATATTTAAATTCTATTAAATTAGAACAATTGGAAAATCAACATGCTGAAACTGATAAGATGGTTGAAAATACTAAAGCATTTCGAAAATGAATATATTCCATATGAAAATTTATTTATTCTTGTTGAATTTACTTTGAGCTGCACTGGAACTAATGCAGCAGTTGAAAGAGTTTAATGAACTGGTAATAATTTTTGGACAAGTGAGAAATCAATATTGAATATTGATACTTTAAGATATCCGACTACGTTCGGAACCGTGATTTTAAAAAAGTGCATAGATGGATAATTTTCATGATATTTAGTGTACCTTAGATTAGACTACATGTATAAAATTGTTTTAAGGACACATTTTGAGAAAAAATATTTAAATACAATATTTTGGCAAAAAATTAACTTAGAGTAATCTTTTTTCCAAATGTTTTCTTTTTGTTAAAAATGCGTCTATTATAATAATATTTTATCTAAATATAGCTCAGACCTTTTTACAGAGGCTCAACTAAGAGTTTTTAAAAATTCACATTATTTGCAGAGTTACAACCCATTGAAATGATTATCGGCATTTTTTTCTTAAAATTGCTCCCCTCTGTTTTCGTGAAATATGAATAAACCCATTTCTAAGTTATATATTTCAAAAATTCTAGTTGAGCCTTTGTACAAAGGGCTGAGCTGTATACAGGCAAAATATTATTATAATAGAAGCATTTTTCACAAAAGGAGAACATTTGGAAAAAAATTATTCTAAGTTAATTTTTTGCCAAAATATTGTATTTAAATAATTTTTTGTCAAAATGCCCTTAAAACAATTGTATACATGTATTCTAATATAAGTGACACTAAATATCATGAAAGTTATCCATTTATGCGCTTTTGCAAAATCACGGTTCCGAACGTAGTCGGATACCTTAAATAGCTGCAGCCCTTACCATAAAATTCAACATGAAGGATATTTCTAGCTGTGAAAAATTTCCAATATATCATATTGACAAAATAAATCCATTCAATGGAAAAATACTCGTTTAGGTAAATATTTAAAAAAACATATAAGCACAGGAAGTGTATTTCTGTTTTAAATTAATAAAATGTTTCATATAATTAAGTTGAAATTTTTTTAAATTTTTTGTCCTGTTTATCATTGTAAAAAAATTGGTCATCTTAATAACAGTCCCTCTACATAGCCAGTCTGTAATGAAACCAGGACTCGATTCCATGACTGGACTAAAGTAATGCCGGTCATACGTTCACGAACTTGACCCTTTTAGCTACTTCGACCATACATTTATCTGAAGGAATTTTAAATATGTATAGACTTTATATAAGTGTATATTAATTGAACGACTCTATACCCAGCACTATAGAGTGAGAGAGTTACATTAATGTGTTGCACTATAAAGGTGCACAAGGGCTATTTGCAACGAATTTCCTAATTTTGAACCATGATCAAGTGACGAGGATGACACATAATTCTCCTAACTGCCACACTACACGAATAGGAGAACGTTTGACTCTCTTCAGATTAGTGGCTCCCTCTGTAAGATGAATCTTCAGTGGCACTAGGCTCGAACTCATGACACACCAGCCATCCATGTGATCTAGGCTACCGCGTCCACTTACCCAGCATATAATAAATTAAGTGGTATATCACTTAAAATGTTTTATTTTTGTTTATAATGAAGTGTTTTGTATTGAAATTAATTTTCATTATCGTCTTATCGTCGCATAAAGGCAAACATACCTAAAATTTCTCTTACAGACGTTAGACGGCCTTAAGAATTCGAAACTCTGAGTACAAGCATGGAAAGGAACCCTGAAAGGAATGGAAAACATTATTCTACAAATGTTTACTATAAAATAGGTTGATTGATTGATTGAATATTAACGTCGCACTGTTCAGCTACACGAGGGCTTTTGGCGACGGACCACGTAATTTATGAACCATGGTCAAGTATCTGGACGACACCTGAGCTGGCACCCCTCTCTAACTACCACACCACACCAACGGGAGGACGTTTCAGCTCTCGACAGATTTAACGTGCATCGCTGCCCTACACGGCGGGTCTTTAGTGGTACTGGGCTCGAACTCATGACAAGGTAAGCCACGGTCCGATACCTATACCACTCGACTACCGCGGCCACTACTATAAAATAGGAAAAACCAAACTTGTATTCATATTTAAGGGGTAGTATTGACCAATTAATACACTAACTCTACAATATAGGAGAAAAAAATCAAAATCGGAAATTTTTTTCTATTCCTACTATTATAGTTCACACACTCTCCGTATATATATATATAGATTATGTACATATATCTTGTTCAAATTTTCAATTGTTAATAAAATACTTTTTATTCATCCGCTCAGGTTCAAATACATTTTTTTAAACTTGGAGTAGATGACACTTGATGTTAATACAGTTTTTACAAATATTAATTCATTAATTAAGTTTAATTAGTGAATAAATAGTAACGAACAAAAAAAATAGTCTAACACCATATGTAAAAAGGAAAATCGCTCGCTGCGTCCCTGTAGTGCAGTGGATAGTGCGTTGGCCTTCCAATCCAAAGTTCGTGGGTTCGAATCCTACTTGGGATGGCCTAACTTCTGAGAATGTGATTTATGAATGAATAAATAGTAAAAAACAAAAATAAAATAGCCCAGCACCATGTATAAAAAGGAAAAACGCTCGCTGCGTCCCTGTAGTGCAGTGGATAGTGCGTTGGCCTTCCAATCCAAAGTTCGTGGGTTCGAATCCTACTTGGGATGGCCTAACTTCTGAGAATGTGATTTATGAATGAATAAATAGTAAAAAACAAAAATAAAATAGCCCAGCACCATGTATAAAAGGAAAAAACGCTCGCTGCGTCCCTGTAGTGCAGTGGATAGTGCGTTGGCCTTCAATCAAAGTTCGTGGGTTCGAATCCTACTTGGGATGGCCTAACTTCTGAGAATGTGATTTATGAATGAATAAATAGTAAAAAACAAAAATAAAATAGCCCAGCACCATGTATAAAAAGGAAAAACGCTCGTTGTGTCCCTGTAGCGCAATGCATAGCACGTTGGACTGCTTATCCAAAGATCATGGGTTTGAATCCCACCTGGGATGACCGAATTTCTGAGAATATGATTTCTCTTTACTAGACTATTTTATTGGAATAATTAAATTTAATTAATTAATAAGAGTCGTAACAAACAAAAATAATAGTCCAACACCATATATGGAACGTAAAATGGAAAATTACAACGAAAATCGCTTTCTATTTTGTCACTTAATATTGTGATTCTGTCATATGTAAATACATAGTGATATTAATTGTAATTACTTAATAAATAGCAACTAAAATAAAATTTTTCTTTGTTGATCTAAGTAGGAATTGACTTAAATTTTTTTACATTATTTGTTTTTAAATTTTTTTCTGAAACGAGTTTTATCCTTATCATTTGCAATTTAAAAAAACCTCAGTTAATATAAAACAATTACAAAATATAAAAATATAAATAATACAATGCCCCCTAGGAACAAAATATACTACTCAACAAAACAATATTAGAAGAAGACTAATATATACTGATACACCATTGATAGAGTGACGTACGTGATATAATACTTAATAAATAGTACTAAAAAACAAACATGATATTGTTTTTTGAACATTTAACTAGTTTCATTTAATAACTGATCTGTGAGTGACGGAAAATGAGCTGAAAGAGACACCAAATAAGCACCAACAACGCTCATTTTAGACAGAATTAAAAAGAACTGTTAATGGCAAGAATTTCCTTCGGTCGCATAATTCTGTGATAGAAAGTTATAAAGCGAAAATAAAAACGATCAACTTAGGAGACACAAAGACACACGAGAAAAAAAGTACAGTGATGTGTTTAGTGCCATGTTGACTAGTTGTACGCCGGTGGGAACTTTGGAGGGAAAATCCTTCTGGACTTTCGGTTGTGTTGGGGCATTTACAGAGGCAGGATTAGTGCCGGGAATTCCCTGTCAACCTTATCAAAGGACTTCATCAGAAAATGAACCTAAAATTGACCGCTCCTTTAATGAGTAAAAGTAATTAACGCACAATCTGAGGGACAGTGGTATAACTCCGACTCATCTGACTGAAGTTGACGGATAAGTTGTGGCACAAGATCTGTTGATTAAGTTAAAAAAAATCCAATTGCTTTTCGTAGTTGGGTTTGACGCTTTTTTTTGTCTTACTTTGATTGACTATAACTTTGTTCATCAAGTAAAAGAATGCTTATACTCCCTATTTAATACGAAAAGAGCTATACCGGAAATAACGTTAAAAAATACACTAATACTGTTTTTTAAAGGACAGTATTGAGGGAGAGTTATTTTGAAGTCGCAATATAAAGCAATGCAAGGGCGATTGGCAACAGACTTCACAGTTTCAACCTCGGCCAAGTGGAGAGGACGATAACTGAGATGGTACCCCCTCTTCAAACTACTACAAAACACCAACATAATCATTTTGAGCCTCGGCAGAGTTAATGTGCATCAGCCCTTTTTACACGACGGGTCTTCCGCGGCACCAGGACTAAAACCCATAACACGCCGTCCACGAGTTCGGGACCGTAACCACTAGGCTACCGCTGCCTCGCTAGAGTATTGAATAATAAATCTTAAACTTTAAAAGGATGTCGGCTGGGTGGCGGGGTTGGTTTGTCGCTGGCCTTCTGTACCTAAGGCTGTGGGTTGACTCCACCCAAGGGCTGCGCAGTAAATGCGCAGTGGATAATGGTATCGACCATGGCAGGTAATGTCAGGGTCCCTAGGCAAAAATGCTACTAAAGACCTTCGCGTCGTCAGAGGCAGGATGCACGTTAAAATCTGTCGAGAGCTGAAACGTCCTCCTTGGTGTGGTGTGGTAGGTGGAGATAGGGTGCCAGCTTTCAGGTGTCGTCAGTCGCTGACCATGTTCAATAATTACTGTCGTCGCCAAAGCCTTCCATTAGAAACTTAAAAGGTGCGACGTTGATTTCACTTACTCACTCGACTCGAGTTTGGAGTTAGCTAGATTCCTTTTCATGAAGCAGAAAATCGACGGCGCCATGTCGTATGATTACTCAAAGCATGTAAAAGATCCCATAAGGAGGTCTAGGCAGAAATTGAAATCTAGTGCAAGTTCGCATATAGTCAGAGCTCAGGTACTTCCTCTAGAGAGAAACCTGGCGTCAAAATTAAATATATTGATTGGTGTCCGGCAATATAGTGCAGCACTAGAGATACCAGCTTTCAGTGAATATACTAGGTAGGTTGATGAACTCTGTTAATATATATATCTGTTCATAATCTTCCATTAGAAAAAAAACTTTAAAATGGTTGATTGAATGTTTCTTACGCACTATTGCACTTACATCATTTAGAAATTAGGAGTTTGGGGTAGGTTTCAGCTCAGATATCCTTTTCGTAATATCACCACGGTTTAAAATTACGAGATCCGCGTCGCCAATAGCCTTCGTGTAGCTTCAAAGTATGACGTTGTCTATCAATCAATAAAATCAAGCAGAAATATGGAGGGCGTAATTGATGATGAACATTGTAATTATATATGAGCTAAGGTTAAGTGACGATGAAGACGCTTGCGTGACTTTAAATATTTTCTTATTGTGCTAGTAGCTAGAAAATTTTATCATAAAAAAGTAGTATCATTCTTATTACACTGTTTCTTACAGGAAAAAAAAAGTTTAAAATATTTTCATACATGACATTAAAATAATATTTAATTTCAAATAAAATATATTATTTATTTAAAAAAAAATGAATTCAAAAAATATATAAATCGTGAAAAATTAGAGAAGTAATAGATTGCTTATAATTTTATCGTTGTCTCTTTTTTAATAATATTATATCAATTAAAATAACATATTTAATATATAACTTGTAGCAATATAACACTAACATATCAAATGTAATTTGTAATTTTTTAAAATTTTGCAAACTCAATCTTTTTTTGTTATTCTCATATGTTCGTAAGCACAGGAATAAGTGTATCAGAAAGTGTCTGCTTTTCATTACTAGGAAGTTATATACAATTTTTATGACAAAGTTTCAGTTACAGTTATTTCAAAAAAATTTATGAAACTTGAAATAATAGATAACAAAAATCGTAAACAAATGCTTTTTTCTCTTGGTATATTCAAAAAGGACATTTATAATAAGAGTATCATAGGGGAAAAGTAAGCAATTTGCAAATGGTGTAATCTATTAGAAAGCATTTTGCATGTGTACTTTTGGTCACGTAGTGCACAAAAGCTCTGAAGTCAGAAGCATCGAAATAATGTATAGTTTAAATATTTGATTTCCATATTTTTCTCTTTAAAATGTTGCTTCAAAATAATTGTTTCTAGAATTGGGGTTTATGGCAAACAATAAAAATATTAGCCTATTTTTGTGTAGGATCCTGTATCTTTTGACATTTGTTTCATTGAATTAAAGAAGATATTTTTCGGTAGTTAGTAACTGGATAAAATGCCAAGATATCAATTTATAAGAATCGATGTCTAAAGATAGTTTGAAAGGATAATAATAACAATGAATAGCAGGCACTGTATGTAGTGTGTTAAAAAAATCGAACTCGCATTCATAAAAAATAATAATCATATTCAGATGTATCAGTCTTTACCTGAAAAAAGAATCCATTTCAAAATAATTTCATACCGAATAGGTATCACACATTTCTACCAATGATTCTGTCATTGTCGAAAGTAGCGCTGAAAAGGTTTTCTTGACAGGGCTTGGTTGTATTTTAAATATCTGCTTTAAAACCTTTTATCTGCCGACTGTACTTATAAGTACCGCTTATTTTAAAATTTCATAGAATAGCCAACTTTATGAATAATCTCACAATACTTTGCAGGAATATTCTTTTAAGTCCACACTCTTCCAAGAAATATGGCAGCAGGGGTTCTATAATGAGTATTTTAACGGGGAAGGCGAATAGTTTTATAGCAGAAATTGTTTTTTCAGCTGACGGCGTTTTCCGCGGAAGGCGAAGATTATCTTTTTTGTCCTGAAAAAAGAGTTAGTGTCAAAAGACAAGTGTCTTATTTTTTTGTATGTTGATGAAGATCTTAGGAAATGATTTGATAATTTATTTTAAGTGAATATAGTGTATATAATTAATTTTACAATTGAATATCTTTAACTAATTAATTAGCTCTAACGGATTAAATTTCCCGAAGTTGAGTATTTTTCTTATGTATATCCCTTAATCTCCAATGTAGTAATTTAAAATAAAATATTGCATGAAAAAAACTGCAGTAAATCATAAAAGGTTAAAGAAGAAGTCAATGACGCGGTAGCTTAACGGTCAAAGTAAGGGATTCGAGGCAGGCGTGGCATGAATTCGAGCCTAGTACCACTGAAGACCCGCCGTGTAGGGCAGCGATGCACGTTAAGTGTGGCTAGAGCTCAAACATCCACCTGTCAATGTGGTAGTTAGGAGAAGGTGTTACCAGCTAGGTGTCCCCCTCGTCACTTGACCATGATTCAAAATTACGAGGTCCGTCACCAAAAGCTCTCGAGTATCTGAACAGAGCGATGTTAACATTCACTCACTTATCAAAGGAAAAAACGATTTCTCTAATTTTTGCGGTTCTAAGAAAATATTAAGGTATCCGACTACGTTCAGAACCGTGATTTTGCAAAAGCGAATAAATGGATAATATTCATGATATTTAGTGTCACTTAGATTAGAATACATGTATAGAATTGTTTTAAGGACATTTTTTGACAAAAAAAATTTTATTTAAATACACTATTTTGGCAAAAAATTAACTTAAAATAATTTTTTTTTCAGAATGTTCTCCTTTTGTGAAAAATGCTTCTATTATATAATAATATTTTGTCTGCATGTAGCTCCGACAAAAGTACAGAGGCTCAAGTAGAATTATTGAAATATATAACTTAGAAGTGGGTTTGTCCATGTTTTACGACAACAGAGGGGAGCAATTTTAAGAAAAAAACGCCGATAATTATTTCAGTGGGTTGTAACTCTGAAAATAATGTGAATTTTTCAAAAATCATAGTTGAGCCTCTGTAAAGAGGTCTGACCTATATACAGGCAAAATATTATTATAATAGAAGCA